CTTTCCTTTCCTTTCCTTTCCTTTCCTTTCCTTTCCTTTCCTTTCCTTTCCTTTCCTTTCCTTCCCTTCCCTTCCCTTCCCTTCCCTTCCCTTCCCTGCTTTTGACTAAGTATAAAATACCTATTAGCTCAAATATTGCTGACCTTTTCTTCTTATTTTAGAAGTGTTCTTGACATTATGCATCTTAGGGTGTCTTGGAGAGATATTAAGAGGAAAGCTACTGTAATCAGAAGTTTAAAATGAGACATGCTCCAGTCTACCTTCATTCCTATTACCCTCTTTTCCTATATAGAAACACATTTATTATGTGCACAGGGTCAGAGGATGTTGAAAACAGAGGCCTGAGTCCCACATTAGGCTAAGCCAAAACATATTTTGATTATTTTTAGTTTCATGTATAATGCATAGTTAGCTAACTGTGGTTTATTCAACATGCCATGATTAAACAAATCATGAGCCCAGTCATAGACTACAAGGCCCACACAATGTCTTCATCAGGTGTGGGGGGGAGCAGTTTCTGAGCTAGATAAACCTTTCTGGAAAGAACATTTGGGTGCAATAATAACAACAATAACGTTGGCCCATCAGAGCTCATTGTTCATGTAGGCAGCAGGGAAACTTAAAGAAGGCTTTTGAAAAACCAATTTGCAATTGGGTTGGTTTCTAGAGACAAAGGCAGTCCAAACAATGTAGGAATAGCTTTAACAGCTTTTCAGTGCTTTTATGAAAAAGGAGAACTGTTCCCTGTATTCTGTGCTATAACCATTTAATTAACTATGTAAGTAGTGAAGTGGAGACCCAGTGTGGTATTGTGGTTAAGGTGCTAGGCTAGAAATCAGGAGACTGTGAGTTCTAGTCCTACCTTAGGCACAAAACCAGGTGGGTGACTTTGGGCCAGTCACTCTCTCTCAGCCCTAGGAAGAAGACAAGGGCAAACCACTTCCAAAAAACCTTGCCAAGAAAACTGTAGGGATTAGTCCAGGCAGTTGCCAGCAGTCAACACTGACTCAAAGACACACATACATAAAAGAGTAAACAATGCTTTTGATAATCATTCCATTAAAAAGCACATACTGTGGTACAGTTGCTTTTCCCCACCACTGCTTCTAGGAAGAAACAGTACAGGTGTGTGCATAATAGGCACGGTCTGAAATTTAAAATGGGAATGTGAAAATAAAGGAAGAAGAATAAAAAAGTTCTTACATTTATCATGCAAAGGAACAGGAGGAGGAGGAAGAAAAGGAGGGAGATCCAGATGAAATAAGAGAACAACAAATGTTGATTGCTCATTGCCACCAAATTTCCTTTTGAGTGATGGTTGATCACACACAACCTGAGCTCTACTGAGGTTTTTGCCACTACTCTTCCTCAAGTTAGGTTTGACTGCTGGTGACTTCATGGACCTATCTATATAATTTTCTTGACAAAAATACTGGTTTGCCATTGCAGTCCAAGAGGATGAAAAATCTGAGGCTGAAGGCAGAAGGCCTCTATGGGGCTAGCCATCCAAAAATAAAAATATATTTTTCCATAGTACTAAGTGGGATTGGGTAATCTCTGCCTTTCTAGATGTTGCTGGATTCCAATTGCTATCCACCAAAGCTAGTGTGTCAAGAAATCAGGGGCAAAAGCACTTGGAAAATCATAAACTATCATCCCATGTATGATAGAACTGACAAGTCAATTAAAGTTATTTTAAGATCAGTGTACATCTACTCAAAATGCAGTTAGTTGGCATGTAATCTAGGATCAAGCTGACATCTTTAAAAGTTTAGATTTTGTATTCAGTACCATTAAAACAAAATTGAATAAATATATGACATCCCATGAAGACATCTTTGGGATATATTTTTGCACTAGGAGCCAGAACGAAGAAGGATGGGATAACCTTATCTAGATACATATAAAACTCTTATTAGCAGTAACGTACCATTTAGAATTATCTTAAGCAAATGATCAGAAGGAGAGGGGAGGATCTGACTTGTCAGCAAAGACCAACCCAGATATTGTTTTTTGTTGGATGTCAACTGCCAACAGGATTTTTTTTTTTTCTGTTACTGTTTGGGCTGTCTGTAGATCCATTATGATGACTGCAACCTTAATATGCTTGGTCAAGATCCAGTTGAGGTTGGTTTCAAAGTCTCAAATTAATTACCCCCAAAATGTTGCATGTGGGTAGCCCATAAAACTTTTGGGTTTACATAGTAGGAAGACATCATTTTATTCCATCGAGCTGACACTTAAGCATATTCCACTTCATGCTAAATTTGTCCATTGTGCGGTGTTGCATTTTTAGGGTTTTCGGTCTGGAAACCGCCAAGTGATTTAAACTTCTCAGTACTGGAAGCAATTTATTATAGACTTTGGAAAAGCATTTTCTTAGCTGTTGTCACCATGATTAAATTGATTAGTTTCACTAGCAGTAATTTTTCCACTTCCAAACAGTTTTTCTTGACTGAAAGTTGTATTTCTGATTATTTACAGATCAATTATCTACTTTTTCTCCCATTTAGCTATGTTTACATAGTGCTATTATTTTATTTCCATTCTGGTATTCCTACTGATTTCCACTACTATAACTAAGCATAAAATGGTGATGTCAGTCTGTTGCCCTTTCTCTAGAGCAGTGTTTCTCAACCTTGGCAACTTTAAGATGTGTAGACTTCAACTCCCAGAATTCCCCATCCAGCCATGCTGGCTGGGGAATTCTGGGAACTGAAGTCCAGCATCTTAAAGTTGCCAAGATTGAGAAACACCACTCTAGAGTCACTGGTAATGCAATGAAGAAATATCAGTGGATTTCTGAACACTTTAAATAGCAACTTCTAGAGGCAGTACCCTTTCTCATTGCCTTGGTTCTTATAACTGCACTTTGCTTAAGGAAGATACTGTAAGAAGTCTGGATATGGGACATGGCTTAAAAGTTTATGAAATAAAAATAATTTAAAAATTCTGAAATAAGGATTCTAGGAATGCCGTTTTTATGTCTCTTTATGGGTGTGTAATGCTGAAATGTACTGGAATGTATGTGCTCCATCAGTGCTAAATATTGCCAGACTTTATTGTAGAATTTGACCACTCCAAAAAGTCAGTTTATACAGCAAGACACACTGAGCTTCCAAACGTGTTTCACAGGAAGTGATGATGCAGAGTACAGAAATAAAATTTTAGAAGGAGATGCAAGGGCAAGGAAACAGATTTCAACTAAATGCTTGAAGAAAAATTCTGGGGGGAGAGAGGATCTGGGAAAAATTCTGGGATGGATTGCACAGTGGATTGTTCTTCATGGAAGTCATGGGGATCACTGTCTCTTAGCCTTGATGGAAATGTGGCTACTTCTGAAGGCCATCTGCTGGGAGACTAGTGGACTTCCTTGTGCAATTGGTTGGCCACTGTGAGAACAGGCTGCTCAACCAGATGGGCCAGGGCACTGCTTATGCTCTTATGCTAGGGATATACCTGGTATGGGCCATGCTAACGATAGGAATACTATTGTTGCAAAAATTTGCATAGAGCAGAAGATTGGCTAGGTGACCACGAAGGCTGCTCCCAACTCTAAAATTTTGTGAGTCATTTAGAGAGCAAGCCTCTTCACTTGTAGTTCTCAAACTTATGCCAAGAATCTGGAGTTTAGGATATGTGCCTCTGAATTGATCTTTTTTTTTTTTTTTTTAAAGAACTGCATTTGTTCTTTCAGCAAAAGTGCTGCCAACAAGCATTGTGCCAGCATTAGGCATGCTCTGACAGAAATATGTTGTTTTTTGCCAACTCAGTTTAAAAAGAGAGTTGCCTATCCAAAGGGAGTGAAACTTACATTGAAATAATAGTAATGCTTAGGGAATCTTCGTTTCTTCAATTTTGGGGGAGGGGGGCGAAAATAGAGTTTAGAGGGTATTTCCTGGAAAATCCGTACAGTGCAATCCTAGTCTCTTTCTCTCAAGGTTAACCCCCTTTTTGTTCGTTGGGGATTTCAGTAAGTTTAACACTCCCACCCTCCAATCTTTTTTTTTTTGCCTCAAATGATCCAAAGAAGGCAGAGATCACTTAAGGCAAAATGTAGAAACAGATTTCTGTTCTCACAGTGGAACATCCTCATTTCAGCACCTCAAAATATGTTCCAGAGGGTTCTTCATCCCCTCTTCCCATCCATTTGATTTTCAGAGTGCCTAGGAAGCTGCAGGAAGAGAGGGAACAGTCCCCTTCTCCATCCCATTTACCTTCCATTCTCAGCCAAACCAGCTAGTCATGGTGTATGTGATGCCATCACAGTACTATCCCAGAGGAAAAGCAATGCCAAGGGTGAATGAAGGTCCTGATTTCCACATAACACTGCCCTCATTCTGAACTGGCAAAATAGGGCTGTGCAGTGCTTTGGATCTGATTCCAGAATGGACCTTTGGACTATGGAGAGGTCCATAACTTCTGGATAGAACATGAAAAGATTTTGGAATCAAATCCAGATCATTGTACTGCCATGGTAATTATGCCAAGTGCAAAAGAGGGACTGACTTTCCATATCACATAACTCTCATTGATGGTCTCATATTTGTGGTCTTTCTCTCTCTCTTTCTCTCTCTCTTCCAAGGGTGTCTGCAGGGTATAGTCAAAAAAGTCAAGATGGTGGCTGTGACCACACCCTGTGGACACCCCCTCCCTTCTTTTCACTATGAAAGGGGGTGCATTTGGTCAATGTGGAATTGTTTTCCTAAAGCCGCATGCCAATTACTACTCACCTTTGTTCAGCCATCTTCAGTGATGGTAAGAAGTGTCTCCAATAATTGACAACATTCTAAGTTTGTTCAAGCAATTTGTTTGGACCTTTAAAAGTCCTTGAAAAGGATGATTACAGTGCCTTTAATGACTATGCCTTAACATTCCTATTATATAGTCATTTCTCAAGGGAGGTGATCAAGACCCAAACATTTCTTTTAGCTACATTACTTTTTTGGCTTCATTTTTAACATAAATGTCAGGAACCAGAATGTTGAAAAGACTTCAGGAGTTATTTCAGAAGGGCAGTGTTGTATATGATACATGTTATGACTGTAAATGAATTGCCCAAGTTTCACTTCTGAGATTGGAGAGGATACTTTTTTAGATTTAGGATCTAAACTGTGAAAAGGAATAACTATAATTGAAAAGAGCTGGTATTCAACCTTTTTTCTCCTGGGATATAATTTGGATTGAACCTGTTCCAGAAGAGATCCTCTTGCAGTCCACCTAGTGCACCGATGTATAATTTGAGCCAAAGGTTATAATCAGTGGAAAACGGTTGCATATACATAGTGAGTCTCACTTTGTTTCTATCCTTGCAGCTGAGGTGAACACTATCAGCGAGAACACAGAGATCCTCCGCCTCAGTCCTTCAGTTGTGACAGAGTATGTGGGAGAAAACACAGAGAAGAAAGCAGAATTCTGTGACCGCTCTTGTGAAGAGCTTGGGTCTATGTTTACCGAACTCACCGGACTACGAGTTGTTATCAACAGCTTGACTGAAAAATTAAAAAGTGTGGTAGGTATCTCCAGTCATTCCTGTTCTAAGGGGTTTCCAGCCTTGGGTTCCCAGGATATAGTTGGATTACATTGGCTATCATTTCCAGCAATGGATGATGGAAATTCTAGCCTAACTTCTGGGTTCACATGACTAAAAACCTTTCAGCTGTTATGAAGGTGCCCTCTCTCTCTCTCTCTCTCTCTCTCACACACACACACACACACACACACACTCACTCACACACATTTATTTATTTGTTTGTTTGCTTGCTTATTTATTTATTTAAGGGAAAAAAC